GTACATTGTTTTTAATAGCTATACAAAATTCTTTAAATTTTTCTTTTATTAATAATTTTCAAAATAACATTATAAAGATAAAATTTTAGAAAATAAATTTTACTTCATATATAATATAAGTTACCACAATTAAAAAAGCTATGTATCCATTACTTGCACCTGGTTCATAAACCTAAAAAATTTAATTAATATCGGCATCGAATATTTTACGAATATTATTTATTCGTAAAAAATTTTTAAATATTTATATGCATAATACAAAACTTAATTGATTATTTAATATATATTTTCTTTATCTAAGACTGTAAAAAAATTATTGCAAAATCCTCCATGCTCATATAATTTCATCTATACTTTCTTACATATTTATATATATTATTCAGTTTCTATAAATATATATTTATTATTTTAATTAATTATATTTAATTTGTTTTATATTAAAAGAAAATATTATGTATTATTATTTTTTATATAATAAAAAACATTCAAAATTCATTATCATATTAAATATAAGTTGATTATACAGAAATAAATTCTGCAATTTTAATATAATTAAAAATGTTTCTCACATTAAATATATATGTACAATATGATAGATTATTTTTTATTTTTTAATATTATTGAACTATTGATTTTTTTTTGATCTTATTTCTTTTTCATGTTCACTATCTTTTTCATTATCATTTTGTAGTTTTCCATACCGAGTTTCCAATTTTGCAATCAATTCAGAATCATCAAAATCTTCAATTTCTTCTTCTGTTTCTTCTTCTTTTGATATTATTTTCTGATCAATTCCTATTTGATTTTTTTGCTTCATTTTATCAATGTTTTTATTTTCTTTATGTTTTCTTTTCCATTTTTCATTTTGATTTTCTACTTTTAATATTCTTCTTTGTTCTTTTTCTTTATCATCTATTTTGTCATTTTTTTCATTGGTTTTATATCTATCTTCTTCCTCTTCTTCATCTTCTATTTCCTCTTCCTCTTCCTCTTCCTCTTCCTCTTCTTCCTCTTCCTCTTCCTCTTCCTCTTCCTCTTCCTCTTCCTCTTCTTCTTCCTCTTCCTCTTCTACTAATTCTTCCTGCTCTTCTTCCTCTCTCTCATCTTCATCTTCTATTTCTTCTTCCTCCTCATCTTCAATTTTATTATTTTGTTTTGAACTAGTCTGTTCTTTTATTATTTCTATTTTTCTTTTTTCTTCTTTAAATTCTTTTGTTTCTATTTTTTTACTTTTATCTTGTTCTTCTGTTTTATATTCTTCTACTTGAATAATCAATTTATTTTTCAGAATTAATTTTTTTTCCACATCTTTTTTCTCAGATGAAATTAATTTTGATTGATTTTGAACAAAGATAACTTCTAAACACCAAAAAAAAACATGATTAATATCTATATTTACAGGTACAAAATAATGGATTATATTAGATTAAATAAAGTATATAATTATTTAGAAATATTTAAAATAATAATTTTTTTTTATTTATATATTTTTGTATATATATTATTTATATATTTATATATTTTTGATTTTTAACAAGTAATGTAATATTTCTAAAATTAAATCACAAAATTAACGTATTTTTAAAATGAATTTCAATTTATTGAGTTATATTAAAATTTAAAGTATGATATTATATTATTATATATTAAAGATAATTTAATATAAATGGTAAAATCTTTATAAAAATAGTAATTAAAAAAATTAAATTTAAATTAAAATTTTATATATCTGCAAATATAATATAATTTGTAAAACAAAAATATTACAACATTTACCATTATTCCACCGTTTCACAAGGACAAAATGTGCAGCAACAATAAGTGCCACACCAACTCCAAACTTCATAGCCACTGTAATCATCAGATGTTATTTTTCATTGAAATTTGAAAATTAAAATGAAAAATAAAGAAAATTTAGAACTTATCATGATTTTTCATATGTTACATTTATATATTAAAATATATAAGAGCATGGAGGAATTTTACAATATTAGAAAATTATAAGTAATTCGATTTTATTACATAACAATATTTTACTTACCATTAGCAGATTCTTCTTCTATTTCTTTTATTTCTGGCTTTACATCTATATCATTAACATATTCTTCAGGTTCTATGTTTTCTACCTAATATAAAAAATAATGTTATAATATAATGTTATATCACATTTAAAAAATTTTAGAAATTATAGAATAAGAAATCTAAATACATGATATAATAAAAAATATATAAATATTTTTAAATATTTTCCATGTAATCTTCATGTAACAAATATTAATAACATTAAAAATTAATTAAAAATGTATAATAATTTAATTTTCCATTTTATAATAAGTATAATATAATAAATATTTTTTTTATTTTAAACTAAAAAAATAAATAAAATTTAAAAAAAAATTATGATTTCTATTTAAAAGGAAATAAAATAGTTCAATTAAATGGATAAAATTTTATAATATAAATAATAAATCTTATAATTAAAATATTATATTATACAGAATAAATCTTATAGCATATATAATATCA